GGCAACCGTTGAGGAATCTGCAAAATTTGCAGGGGAAGCAACGCACAAGACCGTGGGGAAGATGAAGGAGAGTATTTTTGATCGTGAAGAAGAATCTCATGATGATCTTTAAAGCAAAATCCTTTCATTCTAGCCAATGCATTGTTTTATCATCACCTTTTGGTAACATTAACAAAGTTGTTTTTCTCTAGAGATATTGTGCTTCCCTCATTTTCCTGCTATCAGAGTAGAAAAAAACTCAAATTTGTAGAAAGAAATCTGAACTAAAGAATTTCCAGAGGAATTCATTAAGTTGAGTTAATTTCATCACGGGATGGAACAAAATAATCTGCAGATCTGAAGAGAGACCATTAAATTCAAGATAGCAACATAAGTATCAAACTAGAATTCAAGTGTGCAAGCAAGAGTTGTGAAAACCATTATATGTTCATGAATCTAATGCAGCATCAAGATACTAAAAATTTGCAATTCATCATATAACTGATTCCTGCTCCAAGACATGTTTCATCGAGACAAGTCACCAAAAGCATATTAAAAAGAACAGAAGTGTGTTTTTCATTATGGACTGCACTTTTTTATGCAGTTTGAGTACCAAAATTATCATAACACGCTTTACAAAACTCCCTCCATGTTTATTCATTAATGGTATTTTGATAATTTCTGTACCTGAACCACGCAAAAAAAGTGTTGTCCACAAAACACTTATCTTAGAGACAGATTACAATGATGAAATGAAATGTCAGTCAAGCAATGCAACAGTCATTTGAAATAAAATGCATTAAGAGGAACGAGAAGCTGAGAGTTTAAGACATTCACTCTGACATCTACGAAGGCAAATGTCATTCCAGTTGGGCACTTGGTGCTGGTTGACGCAAACGGTGCGAAGACAAGCGTCAGAGCAGGCATCCAGCTCAGATACGCCACAGACAGTAACACAAGTATCAGGAATTGGGTCCTTTGAGAATGACCCAACTTTTTTCAGCATTCTCTTGGATGTACAGACCCTCTCACAGACAAAGATTTCATCAGAATTCTTCTCCCTTCCCCTAGCACTCTTGAGTCTCTGCTCTTCGGCACGCCACTTCTTCATTCTGAAAGCTTGCCCTGCAATAACTGCAGGAATGGCAGCCCCCAAGAGTGACCACCAAACTTCCACCATCTCCAATCGTGGTGGTTGATATCCTTCTCCTACTGCCTCTTCCTTAACCTTCAATATTGAAAGATAAAAAATTTACAATTTACAAAATCGAATTTAATTCATTTATTCATCATAGTTGCTACAATTTACATTAACCAATTCAACCCATTTTCCCCCAACATATACAGAGACTATTGGGGAAAAAGCTATGACATCCATATCTCAAGATGAAACACAAACCAAAGATGGATTTTTAAGAAAAGAAATGCTAAACACTTACCTCTTGCAACTAAAAGGCAGGATTGTATTCATTTTGTAAGCATTAAAATTTGTTTGTAAGATGAAACTGGCTATCATCTAAATTCCAGCAATTAATATAAGCCACTTTCATCTGCCCAGGAAGTACGCTAAATAGTAAATACACATTCCCAACCACTCCACACGCCAAAAAAAAAAATCTGAAATTATTGTTCCCCAAACAACAGAACCAAGACCCAAACAAACACTGACAATTTTGCGAACTATGAATCAAACATCTATTTGATTCCGGATTGCATCAAGCAAACCCACGGTTGCACCACAGAGAGGAAAATTCGACCCCTTTTAAAAATTGCATTATATGTAACAATATACAGATGGGTAATTAAGATATAATTCGCAACCATAGTTTCATAAACCGGAAAATTGATTCCTTTTCACAGAATCAGTGGGTGAAGTACAACTAGGTGTTACAGATCAGATTAGAAACCAGACCTATTTAATGCTAAAAAATAAAGCGAGTTAGGGTTTCGCAGAAACGAAGAGAAACGGGGGAAGAAGGCTCACCTGTGGACGTTGAGGTGGAGCAGGGTTTTAGCAAATGACGCCCTGCTTTGTTTTTTGCTTACCCTGGAGAGGTTTAGTTTTGGACTAACCCCAAAAGGCGTTTTTCTAATTCGTGCAGAGTATTAAAAGTGTCTTTTTTTTTTTTTGGTAGAAACAGAGTATTGAAAGTTAACTTTAACGATTAAAAGCTTTCTATTAGTAATAAAATCAAAAGATCAAAAACAAAAAAAAAAGTAATAAAATAAAAAATGTTACAAGGTAATTATTTTGTTAAAATTATTTAATTTAATTAATATTTTATTTATTTATAATTTTTTAAAAAAATTAATTATAATATCTAAAAATATCAAATTACAAACTAATTTCAAGTTATTAATAAATTAAAAAAGATCAATTATTATTAATTATCTAAACAGTTCAATAATCATCTTCTTTTACTAAAAATAAAAGATTCTAAATATAAAAGATAATTACCTCCTATTGTACAATTAAGATAAAAAAAAAACTTAATTATTTTATAAATTATAAGCTACTTTTAATAATCAAAATAGTGAATAATCATGATCACATCTCATATCTCATAAAATAAAGTCAATCCTTTTAATTTTTTAAGTAATTAATAATAAAAAAATATAATTAATAATCTTTTTTTTTTAACATGCATATAATTAATAATCTTTAATTATAAAATATTTTATAATTTAAACTAATTCTAATGATAAAATATCAATCATTTGATAAAATTAACACCTTTAGTATTAGGAGTCTTCCTCCAACAAATAATTCTTATTTTATAGTTTTCGAACTAATCCTCCTCCTCCTCCTTTTTAAACTTACGCGCAGGTTAGACGAAACAAAAAAATACGTTTCTATGAAAGTATCGTTCCCCAAATATAACCAGCAAACACTGGAAATTTTATAGTTTGGACTTATACAAAACATTGATAAGAGGGGGATGGACAGAGCGGAGGTCCAAAGATTCAGTAATTATATTTCTATACACAAGTAACCCAAAAAATCCCTTTACAAGAAGAGACCCTGGATATGAAAGAATGGAGTGGATTTTACAATCAAGAAAAGAATGAGCAAATAAACATACATGGAATAATACTCTGTCCCAACAAAGAGTAGTATTCTTGTGTATTAGAAAAGATACTGCAACAAAAAGAAAAAACCTGCAATGGAGATTAGACGTTAATGTCTGCACGCTTTGATCTGGTGCTGCTGTTGATCTCTTGGGAACCACTTAGGGAGAATCTTGGGAGGGTATAATTCTCAGACACTGAAACTGGCTGCTGTGGGTATAGTGTGGGAGGTGGAGTCAGATTGCGCTGTGCTGGGAGGGGAGGGAGAGTGTTGTACTTGTATGGATCACCACTGCGTAAACTGCAAATAAGAGGAAGAAAATAAACAGCAGGAAACATGTGTTCATAGTACCGAAATATTACTACTACAAATTATGTGAGAGTAGAAATTAGGCTTTGAGCAAAAAAATTCCAAGCAAACCTTGTATTCTTATAAAACTGGTCTTCATCAATCAAATTTTCATCTACATGGTGGACAGGCCTCTGAACAGAAGTGGACCAAGGATTTGATGCTGGTAATTCATCAGCAAAATATCTTCTCCTAATCAACTGAAATAATTTTGGCAAAAATTGACTAACTTCAGTATACACATGATAAGAGAGGAGGGTGGGGGTGGAGGGATGCAACACCAAACAGGACAGGAAGGGGACAATGACACCAACCATACGAAAAAACTTCATTACAGCTTCTTTGTCATATCTTGCTTCTTTGGCAGCCTGTTAAAAGTCCAGCACAATGTTATATATATATGATCACGATTACAATACAACCAGGAAAAGATGCATCATGTAATGGAATCCTGGACTGAGAAAGAGCACTGGACTCAGAATAAAACAATTAAACAGAGAAATGGAAACCATATGAGCAGGTAATCAATCACACTCAAAGCAAAAGAAAGGATGTAGCAAGAATATAAAAGCAAGCTTAACTACAAATATTTAATTTCTTATAGTAGTGGGGGGACCATTTCCCTAGCTTGTGTAATATGTAACTTGTGAAAGGGTTTAAGTTAAGAAGATCTGAAATTTCAATCTATTACATTTGTGGTTGTGGTGTGCATTTCTAATGTATGACTCTAGAAAGGTTTAAGAAGAGCACTATGATCATCCACATCACATCTATTGGACCAAGTAACCTACATTTAAAAAATTTGTGATGATCTCAGTTTAACAATATTAAAGCAAGTCAAAGTGCTAGATTGCAATGTTTACCGCAATAAGGCCTCCATTTCCAGGAAAACTCTCGGTTAATGGAATCTCTTCACTAGATGGAAGCAAACCCTGCTTCTCAACCCACTGACGAGCCACATCAACTAGATTGCCACTGCTACCTCTAGTACCCTCTTTTGCAGCAACATCTGCTTTGTTACCAATAACAATATATGGGACAGGAAGGCCACCAGGACCACCATTACCAAGCGGAGCAGAAAATGTCCCAGTTGCTGCAATCTCAGAAGCCCACCTTTGCAAGGTTGATTTTGTTCTCCTCTGAGATAGATCATGAACAAAAATAACACCTGTGGAGATCAAGCCAGAATCACAAATAGAAAGAGATGGCATCATGACAGAGCTTGCAATTACAAAATACAAAGGCTAGGCTCAGAAGAAGTGAAAAGTAATTTATATGTCCAATTGTCCATAAGGACTTATTATAACCACAATGGTGGTAATCATCTTATGTTAGTTGTTAAGTTCCAAAGTGATCTAAATTTTAAGCAATGGGCTTATAGTCCAAGCAATACTCAAATACAATTCATTCATTTAGGTCTCTCACATATTGGACTACAAGTTCACTTGCCAAGATCCTACTAAAAGAACGTTAAAGACTACTTGATATCCTCTTTTATGTCTTACTGATCTAGAGCACTAACTAGGTTACAGAAATAAATATTGGAAGATGAAAACCAATGTTATCCCTGTTTAATCTAAAGAATGCTAAATATTGCCCATAAGGGAAAGCTGAACTGCAACAACTCAAGATGGTAAAGATCACTAAATATTTATGAGAATTGAGTTTAATCCTGAGACTTGAGGTTGATATATCCAGGGACTTGCCAGGATCATTTCAGCCAAGACAGCACTGGTTCTCAACCCATTTACATTTATTTATAATTGAAGCTACACCATGGAACAAATACCAAATAGAACAAACAACAAGATGGAGATCAAATGATCTTTTAAACAAGACTGGTGGATTTCTAGTCTGAATGGTTAAGCACCAAAAATACTTTCTATTATTAAAAATCTTAAGCAAGGAATTCCAAAAAGTGAAGAGATGTTAAACTCACCATTAATCTGTGAATAGAAGAGAGACCGACAATCTTTATATCTATCATGTCCTGACACATCCCACAGTTCAACAAAGAAATCTCTCTCAGCATCACCATTAATGCTACTTGAAGAGCCACCAGGACTACCATATGTGGTATGCTGGATTCAGACAGAAGCAACTTCTTGGTGAAGATTCAAACCACAACAATGGCTTTGAGCTCGTTCAGAGTATAAAATGAATCAAGCCTTACCTTTACTCCAACTGTACATCCAATTGTTTGCGGAGGGCGTGCAATGGAAGAACCTTTGACTATAAGATGAACAAGAGAAGTTTTTCCCACCCCTGGAAAATGAATAAAAGTTTCAAGCTTGAGTTCAACATCCAATATAAGAACTATAAACATGACAGCACATGACATAGAGCAAACAATAACACCCAATAATTTGTTCAAGAAAAGGAAGATTCATTAAAGCTACTCAAGAAGAGAGAGATGAAATCCAATACCTGAGTCACCAACAACAAGAACTCGAACCTGCCCACAAGGCGGTAAACCACTCTGTTCTTTGGTCTCTCTCTCACGTCCCCACCTGAACATGTTTCTTCCAAAGAAAATCACTTTCTGACTATAAACAAAACCAATTATCGAACTCACTCTTTCAAAAACTCAGAGATGAAGTCCCATCATCAATCACGCAAAAATTCACATCAGAACAACAATTTCCCCAAATGGGTATCCAAAATTTCCATCCGATATCCATGCCACATCGAAACCCGGCCAAGATCTACCCCTAAAAACGAACACGCAGAACCAGAAATTGGCAAATAGATTCAATACCACCCCAGAAAATACTGCAAAAAACCCAGTAGATCTATGAATATCAAAAGGGTATCTCCTAAATGCAATTTTAAGAACCGGAACTCAATCTCCAGAGCTAAATAGCTAAATTTTCATGATCCGAAGCAAAACAAAACCAGGATGTGAATCTCTCAACTGAAAAGTGGTTGCTCTATCTTATATTTGAAATCAGTTTCAGGTACGGTTTAAACAACGACGAAAGAAAAGCAATGGAAGCTGGTAAACAAGGTTAAAGGAAAAATGAATGCAAAATGTTTTGCTCCGAGATCGAACGGATGGAATCACAATCGGAATGAAAATCGGAATCGGGCCGACGGAAGCAAGAAGTTTTGTGCTTGGGCAGAATAGTGCAGATTTCACTTAGGATTTATAGTGGGCTGGGTCAGGAATTGAGGCCTCACACATGGACTTCTCCTATCCAAAGAAGGCCCAAACATCATTACCCACATTTTTTTCTCTTAACTATGATACCCCTTTAATTTATGAGTTTCTTATTTTAGTGTCTAAATTAACGATGTTATATTGTAAAATATAAACTATTAGATAAAAGAAGGAATCCCTAATATCATAGAACTCACTCACATTCAATGGTTAAAATTGTGTAATCCAAAATGTATAACACTTTTTTATTAATTTATTTAAGAAATAAAAAGTATAAAATTCCAAGAAAAAGATGCAGTATAATAGTATGATAATTAGTTAAACTAGAAAGATGTGATATTAACTATTATGAATATAGTAATAACCTCACTCATATATATTAATAGTATTATTTGAACAAATAGTTACAACTATTATGATCTACATTGATAGAACATTCAATTCGATTTGGCTTAACAAAACATATAAATTGTACTGAAAATTATTGACTTGTATAAGAGTTGTGAATTATTACACTAATGTAAGTGGATCTTGCCTCTGTATTTTTCATGTAGAAGAGGAGGGAGAAGAATTGGGTTGCAGAGTGGAAGGCATGAGAGAAGGCATCTGGTTGTAGTAGGCCATGCAAGGGCTCTCATGGTTGTGTACTCCTTCATAAGTTGTAATTACATAGCTTGAGTCATCTCTGTCCCTTTCTATCCTCTTCTTCACATGGCATCCTCCACTTGAACATTTATAATAGTTTCTGCAAATATATGTATGTAGTGAGGCAATTTAATTATTAGAGTCAAATCCATTATATATGTGTGTGTATGTGTTTATATATATGTATGGTATTGATGATCATCAAGCAAATAACAATGATATTCCTAGAAAGGGAGATGGCTAATCATCTGTGGTCCTCCCACACTATATATGCATGTATTCATGCACCAAATAACAACTTGACAAACAAGTAGACCCCAAAATTAATATTCCTCAATGAGGATCACTCTACAAGCAAGTTGCCATTTAACTTCACCTATATATCATTGTCGAATGTTTATGATCATCCAACAAATTGTTAGAGTCCCACAAAATTTTCAATTTGTTCTTTAAAATTATTGATTTTATTTAGTTTAACTATTGAGATAATTAACAATTATAACTCTTAGAATTGATAATAAAATAAATAATATTTATTATTTAACAAGTTAAAATTAATTCATAATATATTGATATTTTAAATACCATAATTGATTGTTTATAACAATAATAATAACAACAACAATAACAAGAGAGTAAGAATCTATTTATATACAAATTTTACATGTTACACTTATATAAAATCATAACAATTCATTTATTCATTTTCAGTTGTTAAGATTTATTCACTTTTTTAACATATTTAAGGATTAAATATCTTTTTTCATCTAAAAAATCATAATAAATCTTAATTATTGAAAGTAGATAAATAAATGATTAAATTTTTTTTATAAATATAGTATATAAAATTTATATATAAATAAATCTCTACTTTTAATAAAATATATATAAGTGACTTTAATCATTTATTGTATTACCTTTAGGGCTAGTAGCAAGTATAGTAGCTTGTGATTTACTCGGAAGTTATTCAAATTAAATTAAGTTGAACTTAATTCATTTACTAAATGACTTGAACTTGAGTTTAATATTAAACTTGATAAAAAAAAAAAACGAATTTGATCTTGAGTTGAGATCAATATTGACAAACTACTAGCAAATATTTGATTTAAAATAAAAAATTGTATTATATATTTACATGTATCAATTTAAATATATAATTTTAATATATATAATACCTTATTATAAACTTGAGCTTAATTTAGAATTAATAATAAAAATCTTTAAATAGAATTTTAAATTATTTTTTATTATTGAATTTAATATAAATCTATTATTTAAACTTTTGATATTTTAATATATTTAAAAAATATAAGCATACTTATAATTAAATAATTAGTTATTGAAAATAGTTTGAAAATACAAAAAAAAAAAATCTAATTTAAGTTAAAATACTTACCCGTTCAAGTACTCAAAGTCATGTTCGAATTTGCAAATCAATTCAAATTCACTCAAATGCTCATAAATTTAACCACAAACTCAATCATCTAGAACTCACTAACTGCTCAACTCAAAATTTTCAAGCGAACTCAAATACAAATATCTAAATGTCAGACTCCACTCAACTTGTTAACTGCCTTGATTGCCTTAACCACTTCCCCCGACATCTGGGAGCAAGTTGCCCTTAGGCCTTAACTTGACCTCAATTCATCACAATCATGCAGACAGATACATGGCATGGCATGTTCTCTGCCACATACGCCCACGCTAAAAAACATGCAGTTAACTACAAAATCAAGTACGTACACTGACACTCCAGATTTTTATTTCATGTCTTTTAATTCTTTCCCAATATATCTTTTCTTATTTTTTACTGGGTTTGATTTATGAAAAAAATGCAAATTAATTTTTTTTTTGTAATTGTTTAATTATTTTTACTAAATCCTTCTCTTGTATTAGCTTATATCATAAATATTTAAAATTTTTATTACATTTATGATATTTTAATCATCAAAAAGACTAACTTTCATAGTTTCTTAATTTATTAGTCCTTTCTTTTTTGGTGCTAAACTCTAATATTAAAAAAATCACATTAGGTCCTATGTAATTTGAACTCAAGTTAGGTTAAACTTTATAAAAGGAAGAACATCTCTTAGTACATATTTTTATATTCATAAAACTTAAACTCGATATCTTGATTAAGGAGAATCGATCTCTCTTTATTTGGATTAATAAGTTATTAGTATTTATTAACCCTTTTTGTTTTGTACAAAGTTAACTAGAGAAATATTCGTTAATTACTAATTAAAAATCCCGGTATGAATATGTAAACTGTGTATATATTTTAGGCACATGTGTTTGATTTAGGTATTTGTAAATTATAACTTTTTATCTAAAAATGTGTATGCTGTGGGCATTAAGATTGTTAATAAGTAATTAATGTTGCAGGTAATGACCATTTTATATATTCTATTTTGCTATTTATGAATCTACATGTGCATCTTTATATTTAACAGATAAAATTTGGATATCTTGCTCAAGATTAGGTTCCCCCACCCCCACAAAAAAAGATTAAGTTTTCTTCAATCCCACATTTACCTTCTCAATCATCACCATATTTGAGATCATTATTTAGCCCATTAACCTTTTTGAAAAGTCCACTTCCCCTAACACAAACAAATTCTGGACACCATTGCACGTGAGAGGAAGGTATTATGCAAAAAAAGAATCTGACGTCTCTATTAATTAATTAGAAAAAAAAAAGGTGCGTGGTTTTAAATGCTTATTGAATACAAGATAATTACCTACTGCCAGATGGTTTAGTTTTTTTTTTTTTAATTAGTTAATAAAATATTCAATAAGAAATAGTTCTACTCTTCTTTACTTATTTTAGGATTTAAATTTGAGATTTTTAATATAAAAATTCAAACTTTTAAATATTGAAATGTTTCTTAAGAACCTAGTTGATCTTATCTTTAATTGTAGTTAGATATTCTATAAATCTTTTGAGTGTCAAAAATTGGTTAGCATAGTCAATTGCTCATTTCATTTTAAAATAATTTTTTTTTATTTTTTTTTTATTTTTTTCACATGTTAAGAATTTAGAAACAATTTATATACTTACATATATATACCCTTAAGAAAGACATATAAATAATGAAAAAAAATTTGTGATAGATTGGATAATTAAAATTAAGAGATAGTATATAGTGTTAAATTAAAAAAATACCTCTTTTAAAAATTAAAAAATAATAATGAATTTAAACAAATTTTAAATAAAAAATACAATTATTTTGAGAGGGTAAAGTACACTATATGCTTTGATTAGTGGGATTTGCTCTTAATTTTGAGGCCAGGTAACATATTATCTAAATATAGCTGGGAAATGTCAAACACTGTGTTCGTGCTCATTTGGACATTAATGACGGTCGGATGAATGTGATGTGCCTTTGCGCTCTATTGGACACCATATGTGTCTTTGTATATATACGTAGTTGATTTAATTTTTATTAAAATATTAAAATAATATATTTTAAAAGTTAAAATAGGACTGTTGTAATTGTTTTAATAATACTTTATTAAAATGAAACAATTTTATACTCACCTTATTAATTAGGTCTATTTTTTTCAAAAAATTAAGGTTTAATTTTTAGTCTTTACATATCAAAAAATAATTAATAAATAAATTTTATATTTATTCATAATTAAT